TGTTTTCCCCGTCATATTCCTCAGGAGGTGGAGGAAGGCTGGAATGATGAGGCAAGGAGCAAGAAAATGGAAGGGGTATAAAGGGATGGAACATGGAATGTAGATAGGGGTAGAGGGTGGTGGGAAAGGTGTAATTCCTATTTTTTATAGGTAGTCTTTGTCCCTCTGCCCTTGGCTTCATACTTCCCACCCCTCTCACCTCATATGTGATGCCTTTTCTCCCTCGTATGCACCATCAACATGTATAAATATATTTTATTTCCCTGATCTCCCATGATTCCATTTCACGTATCTGACCTCCTGTGTCGTGTTTGGTACACGGTGCCTCACTCTTGCTGATTCCAAAATCAGTTTCACTGTGCACCATCGATCTCTGACACAAACCAGCCCTCATTGACTCTCCCTGCTCAATTTTATCCTCTATTCCAGCAGTTATTATCCAGCTGTCTATCCCTCTTTTGTATGTAGGGGGATTACTGTACTCTGTTTAATCCAGCAGATTTAAAATACATTTATCAAATAATTGCTTAGACTACAAATTATTACAAACTTTTTATTGATTTGTTTGTATAAATTTAATATATATATATATATATATATATATATATATATATATATATTATATATATATATATATATATATATATATATATATATTAAAGCTATTTTTATGATTAATCGTATTTAGGCTTTATTGTTATATACATCAGAAACCTCTTGCTTAATTTATAATAAAGTAAGATAAATTTGATCTTTGCCTTATTGATTTAATGTTTTATTTAGAGTTTGATATAAATGATAAATGTGAATATAATTATGTCTTTCTTATCTTTTCAGGTTGGTGTCTGCTGGTTCTTACAGGTTGGTGTCTGCTGGGTCTTACAGGTGGGTGTTCGCTGGGTCTTATGGGTGGGTGTTGCTGGGTCTTACGGGTGCGTGTTTGCTGGTTCTTACAGGTGGGTGTTTTCTGGGCCATATGGGTGGGTGTTTGCTGGTTCTTACAGGTGGGTGTTTGCTGGTTCTTACAGGTGGGTATTTGCTGGAAGATTAAAAAACACCTGTCGTGTGGGGTTTGAATACTGGAACTGGGTAAAAACACACTTCGGACAACTGGTAACTTATAATTATGAGTACTAGAGGAGGAGCTCCAAGCCTGACCTGTCTTCTCTCTTACGTCTTGGCTAGAACTTCTGTACCGTGCCTGGAGGGCAAGCGGCATGCAAACATCATGCTATGGTCAGCAGAATGACTCGGTAACGGTCATTGATCATGTAGGGAGGTGGTGAATAAGTAACGGTTGGTATGAGTCAACTACTGGCACTACTGGTAACTGATGCTATTGATACCCCCACCGGTAAGGGTTTTTTTTTTTTTTTTTTTTTTTTTTTTTTTTTTTTTTTTTTTTTTTTTTTTTTTTTTTTTTTTTTTTTAATCTTCCCTGGCTTAGCGCTTCTTTTTGATTATAATAATAATTTAATCTTCCAGGGTGATATTTACTGTGTGTTCCAGGGTGATATTTACCATGTGTTCCAGGGTGATATTTACAGTGATTTTCAGCTTGTGGTTGGTGTCTGTGATGGCGTCTGCTTATGATGTCTTGAGTATGGCGTGAAGTCGCTATAGACATCTTAACATAGCATTTTTTCTAATTTGTGAATTTGCTGTTGTCTAAAAATTATGATGAAGTATGTCATTATAAGAACATAAGAATGGAGGAACACTGCAGAAGGCCTACTGGCCCATACAAGGCAGGTCCTTATCAAAACGACCTCTACCCAAAGCTACTCAAGAATTTACTCCCCTACCCAATGACACCAATCAAACCCAGCTCCTCCCACTCATATATTATGTCATACTTCAACCTCATACTTAGTACGAGGTATTCTTCGTGTGGCTGCCACTGTCACTGACTTTCTTGGGTTATCCTAGGTAATCTATGCTGCTATGCATGATAATTTATGTAACTGTATTTATGTATACTTATACCTGAATAAACTTACTATTGTTGAAATGTCATGTATATTAACCCTCCATATAACGGACTAGCAGGAAGAGGAGCGGGTGTCCTTCAGTGGTGTGAATTACCTAGGATAACCCCCCAAAAAAGTCAGTGACTTGTTTTCATTGGGGTTCTTGTGTGGGTAGAGAAGTTGTTTTGCCTTGATTTGCAAGCATAACGGAGGATTCAGTGAGCTATGCTGTTTCTGAATAATTTGACAACGGATTTTATCCCATATATTCGAAGATCGTTTTATGGAAGTCCGCTTTGTCGGGGGTTTATATATCTACTAATCTCGCGTCGTTGATCTCGCCTCAGCATCCACACTCACTGATGCTATTTTTTTTTCTAAATTTTATTAAAACATTCAGTTGTTTGTCTATACAGGTTACCGCTGTCAACATCCTTAAGTTCTGATTCAAAAGGTGTGTTCTTTCCACACTTTTTACTCCCGAATAAGGCACGTAACACGTAACAGGTTTGAAGAAAACCACCACGGACCACCAAGCCTTTGTTGTCCTTGTGTGGTCTTTTCTCATCTTTGTTGGCTGTCCTTGCCTCGGGTTCTCAATAAAAAGGGCAATAAGAATCATATCTTTGATGTTATTTAACAAATTTAGGTATATACTTTCAGTTTGCATCTACCACATTTTATATAATATTGCGGGAACACCCTCAGTGAGTGACTGTTGTTATATATGATAGTTACACAAACGAGTCTTGATACAGGGGATTAAATGCAATAAGATCACAGTAAACAGGTGATTTCAAAATATGCAAAACAACCACTCTGAAAGATTAGAGAAATTCCAAGCGCTTTCGTGACTACTCACATTATCAAGGAACTATGAAAGTGAAGCATCCAAGGAAGCTATATAAGGGGTCGGCCAGCACCTCACTATCAGATCCCACAACGGTTAAACACGTGACGCGCGGCGAGCCAACTTGGATAGGTCCTTTGCAAAACTCACCCCCAAGCTATTTATTTGTCCAGTGTATTATATTGGAATTTCTCTATTCTTTCAGAGTGGTTGTTTTGCAGGGGATTAAATATATTATCCGTGTCTGTTTATCAACGCATTCGTATCCAGTCATCTTGCAGTTCGTATGATGACACCAGAACTGCGTCGCTTCCTAGGAATGAAATCTTAGCCACGATATATATAACTGGAGTATTTTCACACCAAGCTTTTATTGAGATGTTTTGAGTTTTTTTTTTCTATTATTGAACAAAATTAACATGAAACAAAAGTATTGCTGTATTCTTGTAGCAACAAAAAAGGTAAACTTAGTTTACCACTTAAAAGTAGCCTTAAGGACATCGTTAATTTATACTTCATGACATGAAATCACTTAGATTTCTGCTAAAACGAACACACACACACACACACACACACACACACACACACACACACACACACACACACACACACACACACACACACACACACAGGATGTTCCAGAGATGGGACATAGAAACAAGGGAAGTTGAAGACACAGATGAATCACAGGGATGTTAGGGAGTATTTCTTCGATCATAGTCAGGAAGTGGAATAGTTTGCGAGGCGATGTAGTGGAGGCAGGATCCATACATAGCTTTAAGCAGAGGTATGATAAAGGTCATAGTTCAGGGAGAGTGACCCAGTAGAGACCAGTGAAGAGGCGGGGCCTGGAGCTATGAATCGACCCCTGCAACCACAACTAGGTGAGTACACACACAGCACCGCGTAAGTGATATTCCGTCCGAATTTGTTTTTGTAACTCTCAATATTTTTAATTTATTAGTGATCCGATTATCTGTCCTCATTCAACTGAATCTGCCACTTTTCTGACCACAACCCTGCACAAAGTGAGGCGTACAAGCTAATCTCCCTTAACACCTGCCGCTCCTGTTATCTAACAATAAGTAGATACCTGGTGTTAGTAGACTGTTGTGGGTCGCATCCTGAAACAAGAAGCTAAGAACTCCAATGGAAATATACTACACATGACTTTCTTGGGTCATCAGCCTACCAGACTTACTAATCTATTTAAATATTTCTTTCCCTGAGTAAACCCACTGGTGTGGGACGAGTATTCTCCCCTGCGTAAACACCCACTGGTGTGGGACGAGTATTCTCCCCTGCGTAAACACCCACTAGTGTGGGACGAGTATTCTCCCCTTGCAGTTAAATCAGCAGTAATATAGAGACGAGGGGAGTGCACCTGTGCACTGGTTATTACGTACTGGGAGGGTGGGAGAGGGTATCCTGGGGATGAGGAGAGGGATAGCAGGGGGAGGGGGGATGGTGGGGGAGAACGAGTGAGGGAAGGGGAGGAAGTGGGGGGTTGTGATTCACCGTCCAGGCGTGGCCCGCATCCCGCACACACCACCACAACATTCACAGTGGGTTAATTTAACGAGAGTGCTTGTTTTGCAGTGGGACAGACACTTGCGACTCGCGGCAATTGTTTATTCCCATCCCCCAACCCCAGAGTCTGACGCATTTTAAAGCTTTCGCGACGTACTTTTCTCCTCCCCCCTGGGATAACGTTACGAGGGAAAGTTAGCGTTCCTCTACGTCAGCAGTGAGTCGCCCGGCCGCTGCACCACACCCACCGTAGCTCTTGTCAACACCGTCATATGATCTGGATATTGCAAAAAAAAAAAGTATATGCGTTGTCCAGACGGCCGCCAGTCACCTGCGCCACCAGTACTTTCACTCCGGCAGCTGTGCGGTATTGTGGATTGATTCGGGTGAAACAGAGGAGGAGAATCTGTGTCACTTCGCGAACTTAAGCCAGAGCCAAAGCTCGGTGCCACGCCCTGCAAGGTGGAGACGGTTAGGTTACACTGGCTGTCAGACTCCCACTTTATTTCTTCTTTATTGCCACGATTGCCAAACATATTTACTCGGCCACTAGCAGGGCTAGGGTGTGCGAGGGGGGCGGATGGACCGGGGAAGGGAGAGGGTTAAACCTCGATAAAACAAGGAGATAAATCATGTGAAACAATGGAGTGATAACTGGCGGGGTAATTCACGTGTATAAAGCGCCGGGCAGACCTTATCAAACACCGGGGTTGACAATCCTTCATTAACTATGGTGGGTTTATTATCGACTCCTAATGACCTTCACCCGTCTCTGACCCCACGAACTCTGACCTCGCGCTGGCGCTACGGAAGCTGGACTAGCCTCTAGGCCTCCCCAAATCTCGCAGGACCCGTTGTAAAATAGGCATCGAAAATGCAATGGCTTAGGACCAAATAACTCTTCAAGGGTCTTTGTTCTTCGGGTCAGCTCAGGGTTAGAGAGACTCCCAGGGGCAAGGACCTAAACCCCTGGGCGGTGGGCAGGGCGGGGAGCCCAGCTAGGGCGGGGCCCCGGGTGTATCAGGGGTTCAGTGGCTCAGGGTGTAGCCACTCTAAGCGGGACATTTTTTTGTGTGTGTTTAGACTTGAGTTTTTGTAGTGTTGCGGCGCAGTAGTGGGCGTACACGGTGTGGCAGCGGCTGCTTCATGGTAATTATAACCACGTAAGGAGCAAAGTGCACGCTATATAAGACTCTGGGGAGACCTTTCTTTTTCTCTCACTTTATAAGGAAGAATTAAGAGGCTCCTCCCTGCATGTAGCTTGTGGGTGGACTGGTTAGCTTGTATTGAAAACCCGCATCTTGTGATTTTTTTCCCCTCTGAGAAATAAGTTAGCGACCTTGTGAGTGTACATTTGTTATTCTTCTAGCTGAAACAGTGTTCATTATACAGTGTGATCTTAGTAACTGAAACAGGGAAGGTAAATTATATAGTGTGATCCCTCTGAAAACCGAACATTGTAAGCGTGTTCTCTTTAAGTGAAGAACAGTGAACATTGGAGAGTGGTCCCTTTAAAGGAAGTGAGTGTATATTGCACAGTGCGATCCCTCTAAGTGAAACACCGAGAGTACATTGTAGTGTGTTTTTCATTAAGAAAACTGTAGTGATGTGGATAAATGGTTCAGAAATCCAACAAGAGTGATGGACTGGACACATCTACTCCAGGCAGAAGGACTGAAAACTCCCCATCTTCCACATTTCTCTACATTGGACTGAAGAAGCCACTGGCTGGCGAGACGTTTCCAGAATAAAGATACCCAAATGTTGCACAAGTGTATCATTTGTCAAGTTACGATGTTAATAACAGTGTCCGTGTGTTATAAAAGTTGTTGTTATGCTGGAGTTTTTTCTTCCCTACAAGTGACACGGTCATGTTTGTGACTGACGAAGCTTCGCTTTAGAAAGTACGAGTCTGTCGTCGCCACGCAGGTGTTTGCTGTGTTGGTGCAAGACTACATAGGCGTTTGTTTATAGTTGAAGGACTACACAGGTATTTTCTTTTGGTATTTTGTTATTTGTTTTACATTTGGAAGACTATACAGGTGTTTCATGGCCTCAAAACTGGTGTTTGTTGTATGGCTGCAAAACTTCACTGGTACTTTTTGTATGCTATAGTGAAACAGTTTTCTATTGGCATATTTAAAAAAATGTCTTGTCTGACCAGGTGATAAAATATGCTGATGATTAGACATAAGTGGTTCCCCTAGAACATAAAACGTCAGCCATGCAACCTTGAGGTGGCTTATATCAGGATTTTTACTCCTTGCGGTTCTCTTTTTATTTATTTATTTATTTCCAATTTGAGCACACATACAGAGGTACAAAAAAATACAGATAAGAGCAGCATGCCAAAGCCACTTATACTATGCATAGCATTACGGGCTGGCTTAAAATTAACTTAAGATTAACTAAGCAATGATGAAATCAGTGATAAAACATTAATGTAAACAGATTACTATAAAGCACAAGTGAGTATTACAAAGACAGGTCATATGGTTGCTTGCATTGTTGTACATTCAGTCGTATGGAGTATTCTGTTAGGTAGTGTATTTAAAAAATAATAAAGTTAGATTGGGTTTTAGGTTTAACATTTATGTGATATAATTGTGAGAAACATTTAAGATATACAATTTATAAGGTTCAGTTATTCAGTATTTATTTGGTTTTGGGTGAGTAAGTGATCTTTGAGAAGAGACTTGAATTTATAAACAGGTAGTGTTTCTTTTATATTTACAGGTAATGAATTCCAGATTTTAGGGCCTTTTATGTGCATTGAGTTTTTGCATAGTGTGAGCTCTACGCTAACAAAGGCCACAGATGGTGCACATCAGAACAGTGGATTTTACTTGCTTTAGCTTATTTTTTTCGCTTGATATATGTCTTTATCTCTCTTAGCCTTTGGAACACTTCTGTTATATTACTGAGAGTCCCTGTGGTTCCCTACTCATACAGTTGCCAAAATCTTTGGACCACTAAACTCAAGACTATTTTTCCGCACAGCATCTCAGGATATTCTTACGGGGAGTTCGCAGACTCGCACAGCTATTACAGCATAGCCAACCAGGCACATCCCAGCGGAAACCTATCTTGTTTCCTCTTGAAAACTACCTCTAGACAGGCAATATTTCTTCTGTTTGCTGCTAGAAGGTTGAAGAGTCGCAGTCTTGAATGTTGACATAACGTTTCCCAACCGCGCCCAAAGCACTTCACTTTTTACATTGGGTTTACACTTCCTCGTGTATGTCTCACTCTAGCAAGTTGCCACATTAGCACCCAGATTGGGTACAAGTGCACGCTCCATGCATACATTATGAGCTATCTCTCAGTGCTCCGTCCTAATGAGTACATTCAGAGTACACTGGGACGGTCCCATACCTGTGACGGAATTCAAGAGTTGTACTTGGTCTGAGGCCAGTTTTCACTGTTGACTGTTCGGTCAGCTAGGCTAATTACTGATTGCTCAACCGGGGTGTTGACTGTCAGCTAGTCTGTTGACTGCTTAGTCAACTAAGCTGTTGACTGCTGTGACGCGTATGAGCAACGGGCCCACCCATAGATAAGGTATCGGGAAGCTTTATCTTGTTATGGAAAGCTCCATATAGCCTCAGAATTGTCGTTCCTCTTGTGACATCTGCAAGAGGGAAGGAAACTGGCTAAGGGAAAGGAACGGGACTCAGATAAGGAAGGGGGCCGCCTCCGCCCTGTGCATTAATTATGAAGGATGTACCCAGGTGCTGTGCCCCAGGGCTCCCCCTGGTGCCCTGATCCTGAAGATGTATCCATGGTTCCTGTGGGTTCCTAGAGAAAGGATGGAGTGGGTGGTTGCAGGGTCGATTCACAGCTTCGGAGCT